TTATTTATTTATTTATTTATTTATTTATTTATTTATTTATTTATTTAAAATATATCTTTATTGATTTGAGAGAGAGGAAAGGAGAGGAAGAGAGAGAGAGATAGAAACATCAATGATGAGTCATTGATCGGCTGCAGCCGCAACCTGGGCATGTGCCCTGACCGGGAATCAAACCCTGATTGCCTGGATTCCAGGTTGCCTTTCAACCGCTGAGCCATGCCCGGCCGGGCAATATAATTCATTTATATTTAAAACAGACACAGACATCAAGACATCTGGTCTTGATTTGAAACCAATTCTGCTGAAGTTTTCTTAATTATATACTTAATAGTACTTGAGTCTGTCAACTCTAAGTTTTTTAAGCCTGCTAAAATGTATAGAGAATTAAACATCTAAGATGCTGTACAAATAATGGGTTTACACAAATTAGACTACAATAAAAATCAAAACATATGTAAAAATAAGCTCATGCCTGCATTCTTTTTCAAACCCTTCAAATTAAAGAATTACTCACCTCAAAAAAATCAAATATTAGTTCCAGGTTATCTGGTTCCATTGTTTGTATGCTATACTCTGTCCAACGGTCAGGCTGTAAGCCATACCCACATTCCGGCTGTGAATGCCTGCACTTGAACTCATTGTCGCTTATTAAGGATATCTCCAGGCTATTGGACATTTTGTGAAGAACAGTGGGAGACACCCTATCATCATCATCTTCCTCCAGACCCTCTAGTGTCAGCTTTACCCTAAACAAAAGAAAAAATAATGAAATGCAAAAAGTGGAACAGAAGGAAACTCACACAAATGTTACCTAAATGCTAAAATTTAGAGTGCTCCCTGAATATGCAAAATCTTCAAATAACAAAAGTAATACAAGGTGAGGCAAAAGTAGGTATTCATTTGTGAGTACATGAAACACAGTTTATTCTTGTGTTATTATTTATTAATTATTGTACTATTTTCCATACAGACTGTAAACCCACTTTTTCCCCACCCTGTGTATTATATAGTACAAAGACTACACTTACTACAGGTAAGGCATTAGCTATATTTTATAAAATACTGATGTTTTTAATCTACATATATTTTTGTAAAGTATTAAAATGAGACAAACACTCATTATGCCTAAGGCTATTTTCATTCATTCTTTGTTTTTTAAAAATGAATCTAAAAAGATATTTACTATTACCCCATTTATAATTGGCTATCTCAATTTCTTTTGAGAAGTTTCACAAATGGGTATATATAAAACAAGCACAAATTAAACCATATTCTATTAGAGTGCATTAAAAAGACTGTTAGAGTTGGAGGTTATAAACTAAAAATTTTCCTTTCCTTTCCCTTACACCACAGTGAGTTGAGGTACTTTGGGAAAAGTACATTATTAAAGAAAAACATTGTATTAAGTATATATATTTGAATGTATGTATCTTTTGTGTGTGTATATATTTATATACATGAATTTTTTTAAAAAAGCAAATGAACAAAAAAAAAAACTGAAAGTCTAAAACTCTTAAAGGCCTCACAGCAATGAAAACAAAGATCAGTTACCCAAACCATAGGGCCAGAGACTAGTCTACTCCCAATGAAAGGCAATTACTTGCACGGAGCACTTGTAATGCCAAGAAGATTCAATTCTAGAATATTTCTTACACCAATTGAAATGCACTAAAACAATTTTAATACTATTAAGGTAGGAAGTAATGTTAATGGATAGAGCAGTGATTTTCCACCTTCTTTATCTCATGGCACACAAAAACTAGTAAAATTCTGCGGCACATCAAAAAATATATTTTTTGCCTATCTGACAAAAAAATAGTTATAACTTTGATTCATTCACAACTGGACGGCTATTGTTCTGTTGGTGGTTGTCATTTTTTTTTTTTTTGGCAGTCTAAAGGAAAAGAGGTCATGTTTTAAAAATTCTTGTGGCACACTGGTTGAAAATCACTGGTACAGAGTAACAGCTGAGCTACAAAAGCTTTTCATTGTAGATTTAAATGGGATCTGATTGATAATACAAATAATGGAATTGTATTAGTGGGCCCTGCCCTCTCTGCATGATCTCCTGCCTCCAACCACTGCTGAGCCATGTCCCATAGCCACATAATTCTGAGGTCTCTCAGAGGGGATAGCTATATAAATTATTCAATTAGTAATACTGTTCTGTAATCACACTATAAAATCAAAAGTAGCACTTCAATAATCCAAACAAAAATCACCATCTCTTCTCATAAACCAAACTCTTACAAATAGTTCTGGACAACTGATTCTGTTGGTGAACCTGAAGGAAGAAACATTCTCTACCAGGATGTGTAAAGAGAGACCACAAATGGACAGGAGTGAGCAGGCAAGAAAGGCACTCTGCCAACAGCAATGCACATCTACCCCCCCCCAAAAAAAGAAAATTCACGTTTAAAGGGATCTATGAACGAATTTATTTGTTAAAGGTCTTCTTCAAATAGCTATATAAATGTTATAGTCTATCATAAAGAGACATTGCTTTCTACTTACTGCTGGAGTCAACTGAAAGAGAAACTTGTGCTTAAAATTTGATGGTAAGATAAAATGACATGTCTAGTGTTTTAGTTAAAATATTTAAGCTGTTGCTAAGTTTTTAAAGTCCTTATATCCTTGCAGATAAATTTATTTCCTACACCATGAAGGGTTAGTTTATCACTAATGAAAACTTGGGGGTTGTTTAGGGGGGTGGGGTACAGTCAGGACAAACATCAGTTTCTAGCTATGCATGACTATTTAAATAGGAATCAGTTACTAATTTGTAGAGCCCAACTAAGTATGGTTATACGAAAATATTTCAATTTAAGCCTAAGCAACACTATAATATATACAAATACTCAAAATCATTTCTATAAACAAGAATGGTACAGGACTCAGTATATATTTGCAAAGCCATCAGAACCTCAACCACTAATATCTATTAATTTCTTAGCTACAGCCAAAGAAAAAAATCCTAATAAGCCCAACCAACCAAGGCTTTATCTTCTACTGCTATCTTTATTTCAAGGTTTTATACTATTATAGCTGTTACACAATTTATTTGCTTCTTTTAACATTTAAGTAAAATATTCAATTATATATGACTAACTGGTTAGAGAATCTTTGCAGTCAAATGGATCTTGCAGATCAAACATGTGGTCCAATAACCTCGGTTTTTCTGAAGCAAAGCAGAGGCCTAGAAATGCACAGAAACAAGGTACACCCAAAACCCTTTACTCACTCTCAGAAGAGCCAGTGCAAATAACTATGAAGTATTATACACCTTTTCCCTTATGTATTTTATGATTGGTATAAGTATTATAATATTTAAAGTTATGGTAAAACATTTGCGGATTTTCAAACTGCAGTATTGTTATGAATTATATCCAAATGATAGAGTTGCCTGGGTCATTGAGAAGCCAGCTCACTCAAAGGTATGTATGATGACATTACAGAAAAATGAAGTTACTATTTAGCTATTCACACAAAGCTTGACATCTATATATCAGATTAAAAAGAAACTAATACAGTACTGCTATGATAACTGCAACCTTTCCTCAGGGAAAGGTTTCCATTTGTAAGCTACAGGAAAGTTTAGGACACTGAAGGATATTTTCAGTAATCATTTTTCTGTTATGTCACTCTGCCCTCATTTAGCACAAAGTCATTTCTCATATCAATTTTAAAACAAGCAATTTATTTATAAACTACGCAGATATGTAAGCTTGAAAATCATTTATCTACATAAAAACAAAATGTTCTAGTTTCAAATTTAGAGATTAAGACTAACATAAGTAGATGTAACTACAGCAATCTGAGGTAAAAAATATGACATTCTACGTGTGATCTTTTCTTAGTTTATACACTTAAAGGCTAAAACCAGAAATCTATAGCATTAGTGAAAATAAATGGCCTAAGTAACAAATACACATGGTCATACCTAAATCTAGATTTTTTAAATTTCTTCTTGGTTATTGAGACAGGAGGCTTTTCAGAATAATGCAAACGTAATCTTATTTCAGTCTGACAGGTCAGCCATCCAGAATCCAAAGTCTCAACACCATCTGGAAAGTAAATAAGAACAGCAATTATTATGCATATTTTTAAACAATCCAGTAAGTATAATACACACTGACATTTCCAGTTCACATTCAGATTTTAATACACTCAGCCTATATGTCACTGGTACTTCTCTCCAAAACAAATATATACATAGTCTTAAATTTGTCATTGAAAAAATAACTTTTATATGAAGAAGGGGAAACAAGTTAAATGAATGTTAACAACAGTCTCAGTTTAACAACTTAAGTAAATAAAAATATTCTTAGTAAATCCATTATCGAAGTAATACAAAGCCATTTCAGCAAGAATACATGTTCCAAGATGACTTCTACAGTTGTTCCATTGGGAATTACTATTAAACTCCCAAAGCTTCACATGAGATATTTATTCAGCTGAAACTAGTTATACCACTCGTGTCAGGGACTGAAGTATATGAGAAGGTAAGAATAAAACTGTGAGTCAACCCTGTATTCTCACATTTATACATTCTGCCATAAATTTCACAATCATGATAACACTGTATTAGCATTGTTTAAGTTTCCTATTAATATAGGTAATATGTTTTTCATAACACTACAGAACTATCAAGTGTTTTGGACCTAAGTTTTTAAATAGGATTTAAAAAAATATATATTAAGAAACATTTCTCCTTAGAAATACAACTTTAAAATGTTTAATAATTAGCAAATTTTAAAAATAAAGAGGAAACCACTATTATCTCTTAATTTTAAACTGTTTTCAGAAATGGACAAAGTTGGAGAAATGGCTTTCCATCCTAAAAGGTAACTAAAGCTGAATTTAGAACAACAGTAAAATTTCTATGCATTTATAACCATACATAGTAATTAATAAATAGAGGTACGTAATGTCATATATTACAGCTGAAGAAATGAGAAAACTATTCCTCCATAAAGAAAGGTCTCCAAATTATGTAGCATAAGTATCATCTTTTGTAAATAAAGCGGGCAAGACTGTAAAACACTAAACACTAAAGCTATTCAAGTATTTTAGATCACGTTATGATATAATACAAATAACCCCAAATAAAATCCAAATTCCTATTCAAACACTGCCAAAGCATGTACATTTCTAAAGTGTATAAACACATGTCCCTATTAAACCACAACCAAAACATTCAGACCTGTTTCTTCCTGTTCTGAACAGGAAAGCAACTGGTTATCAGCCATTTAACTCTGGTTCAGTCTGCAGAAGCACACATTCTGCCCACCTCTTTACACAGTGAAGTATTAAAAATGAAAATGCAATCAACTGCATTTAAGGAAAAAATAAAATAAAATTGCAACCTTGAATTCTCAAGATAAAGTGTCACTGAAGCAGAAGTATATAAATGCATAACATTTTCAACATATTTAGAGGTAAAAGGATTTTCTAATATACTGTAAATTAAATGTTAAAGGCTAAGCCAGAATTACCAGAACATTCTGTATAACCTGGATTTTACTGTAAATGCACATATAAACATACAAAATGCACAAATTTAGCTTAAGAGTTAACTTTTCACACCTTAAATGTTTAGAACTGTTAATATCATTTTTGAGCATAATAGTGTTAAAAAGTGATGATATTGCCTGACTGGCATGGCTCAGCACTTAAGCATTGACCTTGGATCCAGGAGGTCAAGGTTCGATTCCCAGTCAGGGCCTGGGTTTCGGGCTCGATCCCCGGTAGGGGACATGCAGGAGGCAGCCGATCAATGACTCTTATCATTGATGTTTCTCTTTCTCAACCTCTCCCTTCCTCTCTCTGAAATCAATAAAGATACATTAAAAAAAGAGAGAATGTTATTTGTTTCTTATATTTAGCCTCTATTTTCAATATCATACTGTTATATTTCCCTATGCCATCTGTTTCTAATGAATGTTATGTAACATCTCAACCATATCAGTAAAAAAATTTAAAACTCGGTCTCACTTACTGTGGATTCCAAATTGTCCATCGTCAATAATAATTTCACTTTCTAGAATTGAAGGAAAATAGAAAACCTAATTAAAATTCATGATGTATATAGAACACATAATTGAGAAACTACCCACCTTAAGCGTTTTTAAAATATGGAATCTAAAATTTAAAAGCAGCCCAAAGTGAATAAGCATATTTATTGTAGCCCTCAATAAAGAATTCTCTTTTAAGAAGGCTATCAAACAATCACATTTCTTACATACTTGGTGATCATTCTTGATGTTACAAGGAAGAGAAAGAGAACTCCTCAGACAGGTGCTCTAGAGGCACTGGGACAAACTTCTATACCCACAATGTGTGAGCCTGACAGGCTGCTGGACAACAGTGTATCCTGGTTCATTTTTTAAACCAAGGTCTTGGCACAATTAAAATGCTTATTCTTATGTAGTGCATATTCTGAACTTATCTAAAATGTAATTCTCCTCAAATCTCCACTATTCTCTAAAGCCGGCTAAAAGCTTTACAAACAGTGTAAACTTACCTGTACACTCAGAGCTGTGAGGAACTATCAAAAGAGTAAGTTCTAGCACATGCCCTTCTAACAGAAATTTCAACTAAATGAATTAAGCTGGTAAGCCCCGCCCTCTGAGTAACATACTCATTTCTTGCTTTCCTTTTCCAGTTTACTTTAAACATAAGTCTGAAATATTTGTTAAAATAAGTGTGATAGTTCCCAAGGAAGATTCTCTGATAGATTTCACGCAGCTCTTAAGTTTATAACTTTATTTGAATGATCAGAAACAAAATCATCCCACTTCTCATAATAAAATATATATATAACTGCAAGATGCTTCAAAACACAAATTATTTTTAAATATTCAGTACCTAATAATTTCCAACCTCAATATAGAACTATTGTAATTCTGAAGGACACTATCAGAAAAATTCTAAATACACTATCAAAAATGTATTAAAACAGAAAAAATCCAATAAAGAAGATGGAATGAGATATCTGTTTAAACAAGACGTGTCTACTACAGGGTAAAGCAGAATCTCTCACTACTTTCTAAGCTGGTAACTAGAAAGCCATTTATTATCTTCACATTCTACTTTTCCTTAGAAACTGAAAGATGCGTTTGTCAGCATTGAGTCAATTTACAGATGAATCCAAGTGGATAATTTAATGTATGTGAAATGAACTTCAAATTTTAATCTTAGTATGGAGAAGGAAATTAAAAAATACTTGTATGAAGATAAATGCCTTTTTAGGCATAAGAAAACAGAATAATGGTGTTTTTTTAAAAAAAACTATCCGAATATCAATTTCAGCCTAGCCAGCAAGGTATTTAAGTAAATTAGGAGGAAAATATGTCTGCTACAACCAAGAAATTGGAATTTATTCATACAAGTTTATTCAAGTATTTACTAGTTTAAAAACACACAGAATAATTAGAATAACTTGTTCTATTCTTACTATTTAAAGTTAAAAATTTAAGAATTTTTGTTTTTGCCCTGGATGGGTAGCTCAGTTGGTTAGAGGGTCGTCCCGATACCTCAAGGTTGTGGGTTCAATCCCCAGTCAGGGCACATACAAGAATCAACCAAGTGGGACAACAAATCAATGTCTCTCTCCCTCCTTTCCTCTTAAAAAAAAAAAGTGTTCTCTAAGTTCTCTGAGCAAGTAATCAAATAAAGCCATGGATGCTCAGCAAAGAAGAATGTTACTTTATAAATTTTGTAACTATTCCAAATGAAAATAAATATTCTACAATAAATTAATCTAACCCAACAAAATAAAAATAAGTAGGCAAGCATTTCTAATAAAGTTTATAAAGAAAGGCAATTAAGAACTATTTAGTTTTGAAAGTAAGATTCATGATATGCTGAATGAAAATTGACCTTAAACTTTAGAATAAAAATTTATTAAATCCCACTAAGCCATTGTGCAGCATATTAGTAACTTTACGCATATGCCTCAAACAGATGCAGTTAATGCCCATACCTAAAGGGGTTATTGATCGTGGTTGTAGATGAGTCTCCCACTTGTGAACTATGACTTGACATGGACCACCGATAGTCTGCAATTTAAAAGTTAAATGTCTGCAATAATTTCTTATATCTTATTTTCTACCCATGACTCCATTAGATGTTTGTAGCCTAAGTTTATACTAAATATGAAACCAAGAGATTCATCTTGTTAATTATCAATATTATATGCCCCCAATCAGGAATGTAACAGGTCACAAAACATGATGAGTGCTGGAAGAAAATGGAGATGAGAGAGCAAACAAAGAAAAATGGGATGAACTGGCACATAAAACTGTTTTAAACCCATTCTTAAATCTGCCTACGATACTCAATTTGTTTCAAAGAAATTTTAATCTTTAACAGATATTCTGTCCTAAGTTAAAGCTACCACAAATATACTTTATTTTTGGTATGTCAGCAGTCAATGGGGTGTTACTGGATAAAGTATCTCATCTTAAGTAACTCTTGAAGTGTTTTTAAAAAGCCTAAACTCTGCTATCATAGGAATAGTAGAAACAAGTACCTCAAGATCAATTATCACAAGTTATTCAAAAAATTGGAGGGCACAATAAAGTTTTTTACTATATACATTTAAGAATAGTAGATTACAGAAAGAACTTCAGATTTCTCATATCACAGTAACCAGTGTTTCTAAAGGGCACAGGAAACCCTAAAAGAAAGGACACACACATGGGACACATGGGTAAACTGGAACTAACATCCAGTTTTACTCTTTATGCCTTTGAGTTTCTAAATTCATACAGTGTGATAACTCCTAATATTGTCCCATTATAAGAATAAAGCTTTATGAGTTGTTGATAACACCTATACCAATTTAAAAACAAGAATGAACCTACCAACAAAGATTCCTGGCATATACCTAAGAGACTGAAGTATTAAATGCTTCCTAATTTTCCTTTACTTTTTAAAAATTAAACTTATGTGTTAAAATGGAACCCTTAAATACATATTTTAAAAGCAAAATTTCAACTGTAACCTTACAAGTTACTTTAATTTTTTGTTCTTTACATATCTTCTGAAGAAATGTAGTAAAATACAGGGAAGCAAAAAGAAAAAACAAAAGTCACCTATTATCACACCACTTAGGGTTTAATACCTATCAACATTTTCATACATAATCTTCAAGGCCTTTTCTAGGCTAGACTAAGTATACTCTTAAAAAGCCTGAAACATATAACTTTCTCTCTATATATTGTACATCTTTAGATGGCATTAAATACTCTCCTATAACATGTTACAGGATTTCAATATTGATTATATTTTAAAAATTTGCCAAATGATAACAAATAAATAGGTAACAAGTTAGGCACAATATTAGGCAATTCAATACAAGAGGTAATTCTGCCACTTAAAATAACCAGAGATTAAAATCTTTTTTTAACTTGCATACTTCTGGAATTTGAAAACTAAAATAGCACTAGATACTCAAATCACTTATCTTGGGATAATATAGGAAATGCTCATTTTCTCTAGACAAATACCTCCTTGTTATGAGGGTTTACTTATGAAATGGTAGACTGGGTAGATGTTTTTAAAAAGGTAAATGTGAAACTGCTCATCTTAAAATATGGGGAATTTAATTTTCATTACAACTTAAAGAAGAAGATGCATTTAATCCTACATCTCTTAGATTTTTTTACTTTTCCTGTCACATTTTTCTGAATTTGTTTTTTGAAACATCAAACTTTCTAATCCTCAAGAGATGTAAATGCATACATTAAAAATAGGAATGATGTTTCTTGGCAATAATAAGCAGCCAGGAAAAACTAACCTATTCTTCTTCACTCCTCCCATATCCCCAACATACCCTGCCAAAGAAAAAGAAATGAAAAAGAAAAAGAAAAAACAAAAACAAAAAATCCTCTACAAAGATGGTATGGGTCTATATTCTTTTTTTTTCTCTTTTTTTAAAATATATCTTTATTGATTTCAGAGAGAGGAAAGGAGAGGGAGAGAGAGGGACAGAAACATCAATGATGAGAGGTCACTGATCGGCTGCAGCCCACAACCCAGGCATGTGCCCTGACCAGGAATCGAACCCCGATCGCCTGGATCCTAGGTCGACGCTGAACCGCTGAGCCAAGCCTGGCCAGGCTGGGTCTATATTCTTATAGAAGTTACTAATCAAACGTAATTAAAAGGGTGCCATGAAAATAATATTAAATATCAGCAAGGATTAAAAAGTGGGTAGAGGGAAAAAGAGACTTTGTTTTTGTTTTAATTCAGGTGTCCGGGGAACTTGACCACATCTTGACTGTAGTATCTATATTAATCATGTAAGAATAGCCCTGTGAATTGAATATTTTATAGGGAATATATTTTAGTAGTAATTTTAATGAACTCCACCCTCAAATCCACTCACAGCATAAAACAATTTGGGCTTGAACAGAATGGAGTATTTGAGGAGCAGTCCAAAGGGCCAATTCAACAGATAACTTAGAATTGTGCCTACTAGCGCTCACACTACAAATCCATGTTGTTTGGTACACAAAGTGTTATAATATTGGGGGGAAAATGAACCAAATTTTAAAATACAGTGAATTTCCAGAATTGTTATGACTACTTTACTAAACTTTAGAAGGTAATCTTAAATTTTAGCTTACTGAAGTTCTTTGAAAATTTTTTTAAGACCTGAGCATTGATATATTAAAAATCTCAGCCTGGCCAGGCATGGCTCAGTGACTGAGCATCGACCTAGGATCCAGGAGTTTGTGGTTCGATTCCCGGTCAGGGCACATGCCCAGGTTGCAAGCTCGATCCCCGGTGGGGGCCATGCAGGAAGCAGCCGATAATGACTCTCATCATTGAGGTTTCTCTCTCTCTCTCCCTCTCTCTTCCTCTCTCTGAAATCAATAAAGATATATTTGAAAAAAACAAAAATTTCAGTAATGACTCTAAAAGACGCAATCATTTTTAAGGCTATATTCCATGAAAAACAATCTTTAAAATCTTAGAAGATAGAACAGCTCCATTTTGTAAAAGGCTGCCACAACTGTAAACATTTTGGAGGGAAGTGAAGGTGGATCTTTGGAGAAAAAAGGAACACTATCAGTCTAAGACGGTATTCTGTTAATAGCACTGGCAGAATTATTAAATCAGACAATTACTGAAGTGTTTTCAAACATGCATACTAACAAAAACACAAAAATAACATGTTTCCACAGACTTGTGTCTTAACCATCACTTTCTTAAACAGTCATTGACATCACTCAGCTACATCGAGCACTGAGAGAAATAAACAAGGTTATTATTCAACATGTAGACTGGAGTTTTTGTTTGGTTTTAACAAACCATCAAGCAAAATGATCAAATACTCATGTAACAGCACTGCTTTTAAATATCATGAAAAATGTAAACTTTTAAAATTTTACTGATTGTTTTCTTCCACAATTTTGGAAAAAATGTGCATGTAAAGGGTCTCTGAGGAATTTTTATCTATGCTGTCAGAGGCCAGACCATAGCTATTTAAAAATCACTATTTTTAATAAGACCATTAAGAAAATGGTGACCTAGGAATGAGTCAAGTAAAGAAGGGTAGGTGAACAGCTATCTATGAGATGATTTAAATTCGAAGGTAACAGCTGAGGTAAAAATTTTATTATATTAAGAAACCATTTTATAAAATGATACCCTGGGCTATTCTAAATGAAAATCAAGGGAGATTAAGAATAAAGTAAAAGAGTTTATAATGAATCTAATTATGAATGAACGTCAACACCTATAAAAATTTGAAACAGCTGTTACTTAAAAATAAACAGCTACTTATACTGAGATTAAGGAAATATTTCAAAGAGAATATAATTTAAAATTGGCTAATATTTCTATATGAGGTAACTACCCTAATTCTAGCCACAAGTAAAGAGGGGTGGACACGGATTTTAAAAATGTTTAAATTGCATGTTAACTCAAAAATTACTTTCGTGAAGATATGAAATTAATCGACTATCTGCAGGCTCACACCAATGTTTCCACTCCAGGAATATCTACTACCTTTGTTTTCTGTGCTTACATAAATTAATATTTTGATTTGTCCCCAGTAAAATTATCTTAAAATTCAACATATTAACATCTTATTCTAATTCTACAAAGTATAAGAGAACATGTAGCTATGAAAAATTAAGAGAAAAAGGACTGCAAGGCTCAACTTCTAAACTAAAAGGAATATGCCAGAAGGAAGGAAATATAAAAGAGAGAATATGAATGGTAAAATTTTACATTATTTACAATAAAATATTATCGATGGAAGGGGTCTACGAAATTTATAGTTCAAACCCTTCATTTTAAAGATGAGGAAGCTAAAGTCTAAAGGTCAAGTGACAAAATCACAAGATTTTTAGCTTAGACTCTACAACTGCCGGGGTAGACGACCTCCTAAGACTTTAACTCAGTAAAATTAATCTTATTACCCATTTTGGCTTTTCAACGCTTTCATAATTACTTTGCTTTCTTATTATTGTTTATATTTATAACATATATATTCCAATAATTTACATCATTTTATGATTTAAGATTCCTTGCACATTAGTTCTGTCATTTCACGGTGCACAATTGAGACAAAGTTTCATAATTATTTTTATTAGAAATTAAGTTTCACTTAAAAAGCGCCACCAACTTACAAAAAAAAGTGTCAATTTAAGCTGGCATGTGGGGGAAAATACCCTCTAGCCATATGCATGGGATTTTATGTAGCTATTTACTCTATTCCATGAAAAACATACTTACCATGGCAGCCCCTGCATCACACGGTACATGTGTACACGATACAGAGCACCTACTTAAAGAAACACACTCACCAACACATACTGTAAACTTTTGCAAGTATTACAAGGGGAAAAACTTGTTTCTTACTGTAAGCAGACTTCTTGCCAATTTTTTCAAAGGCATTTTGGATGGTTTTGCTGCTTTTGGTTACATTTTCAATGAAGAGGGGAAATGCTTAGGTTGGCTTAATTTAACCTGTGTTGACAGTAGTCTTACTTTAGAAAACTATGCCCAAAGGAATCATGATTTTTCCTGTCCAAATACCCCTCTAAGTAAAATTTAGTTGATTTCACATTATAAATTTCACATACCAGAATCCACAATAAGCTTTCAACATCATGAGTGCTGTGGCCTACGTTTCTATGCACAATTGTTCAATTTATACTGAAGAACTATGCCATGATGAACAACCCCTATACTAAATAAATGATTGCAAGTCGTAAAGTGAGACTACTGTCAAGATAAGCCAACACAATGATTAACCATAATGTAATTTAGTTTCATTACTGAGTATTTACAATATATTCTCAGAATAAGAAACGTACGTAATAGGTGCAAAAGACAGCTGAAGTGGGTTTGTCAGTTTTTTTTTATAACGGTGGCTAAGAGAATGGGTAACAGTGGCTGCTTGCATTTTCACATGTAACAAGTATTCAATGACCCCGAAGGGAAAGACATTGTCTTAAATGTTCTAATCCACGTTTTACTTCCTAGGCTCCTGCCTAAGCCCTTGTTCACATGCAGCCCAAGTGTGCTCAAAGGTAAACTCTGAAGGAAAAGAATCCTTTCAGCAAATAAGTATCTTTAAAATAAGAGGAAAAGAATCAACTTTTTTTTTTACGAAAACACTCCCAAAATAATAAATCATTGTGAGCAAGCAGATTTAGACTTAATAGATACTCCGAAGGCCTTCAGGAAAGATCCTGATCTATCAACACCATTGTTGAAAAAAATCTAAGAGAAATGACTTCAGTTTTGATAGAAGTTAAACAATACAGCCACTAAGAGACAGCTGCTGTGAAATAATTTTTTAAAATAATTACTCACTTAAAGCTGGCTATATACTCCTCTAAATGTATTCATATCGCATAACAATTAAAAACAAAACAAAAAGAAAAACCCTCACAACTGGTTACTAATTAGTTTACAAAAGTTAAAGAAAATGCATACCTACCTATCAAAAACATTTATTTATCATTAAATCCTGTATCATGACAATTGCAACATACTTACTATTAGTCTTTTAAAAATTCCATTACAGACATTGTCTGCCTCTGAAGTGGTTATTTCCTTGCTTTTTGGTACTAAAATGTTATTAATCTAGAGTTCTCCTTTCTTTATTTGATCAAAACAAACTCATTTTACTTTTAATGTTTCCAAACTTAAATTAATTGCTCTTGAAAGAAGTAAGTCTGCTAAAGAAACTGGAAACTAGATGAAGAAAACATACCTTTGGTTCTAAAAAGCACCCTTTGAAGTAGCGATACTGAACAGATACTCCTCTACTGAGTACAATGGTTGCTTTCCAATACATGCTGTGAGGGGGGAAAAAAAGCGGCAGCATCAATATCAAACTAAAATGCATAAAGATTTCATAATTCATAAAACCCCTCAAGTAAGGTCTGTGACCCATACCACTTATTTATTCCTACACAAAATTTTACCCTAGGTATAATCTGTACCAGGCACTGGAAACACATTGATGAATGAGGCAGACAGAGCCCCATCTTCAAAGAGATTGCCTTCTTGTGTGGGTAGACGAACCACCAAACAACATACACAGTAAGGGCTATTTGGCCTCTCTGATGTCACAGGAAGTTTTGGAGGAGGCTTTGGAAGGGAGGTCTAAAAGAGGAAGAACTGTCTGAGGTGAGACCTAAATGATGGGAAGAAACCAGCCATACAAAGAACCAGGAGAAGTATTCCAAACAGAAAAGGCAAGTAGTGCAGAGGTGGATGGCAGGGTCAGACTTTCCACTTAGCTAGAGATGTTGCATGGCTGCTAAGAGGCTCTGGGGCCAAGGCCAGCAAGTTACACTCATGTTCTCAACTGTCCTGCCCAGCCTCTGGCTATTCTCCTAGCCAAGCAATCAGTATCTGTATCTTACTTGTTTCAACCTAATGTCCTCCTCTGAACTATGCTATTCTAGAACTTTGACTCAATGGTGAAAAAATTCATTACAATTCATGATTAGAACTGATTTTTAGCTTCAAGTCATAGACCAGTGGTATCCAAAGTGTGGTCCTAGAACATGTGAGCTTGTTAGAAATGCAAATTCTCACGCCAAGACTAGACCTAGACCTATGTAATTAGAAACTCTGGGGTGGGGCCCAACAATCTATAATTTAACAGGTGACTCTGATAACTAACACTTAAGTCTGAGAGCCACTGTCATAGCCCATTACCCAAACATGAGTCCCACATGAATAGTTCAGTGAATGAACGGCAGCTCCATGACACCAGATGGATAGCATTGCTCCCCATCTGACTCTGCCAAGACAGGTTTTAGTGCATTATCCTTACTCTGACTCAACTGTGGTTCCTTAAAAATATCCACAGCCAGCTATCACCTGTGGGCCTACCTTCAGCAATCAGAATAATGTGGTAGTAACAAGCTACACATACCCTGGCCCTACCCCGAGAGACCCTGATTTCACAGATCTTGGGTGGAGCCTGGTCATGTGGAATTTGATATAACTTCATAGGACATTGGATGTATATGTTTGGTTGAGAATCACTGCTGTAAAGCAAGCAGAGCAAATGCTTGGCATATGTGCCCCTACTATGTTTCCCCTGATAGACCTCAGAATCATTTTCAACACACAACTCTAGGCAAATTCTATCAACTATACGGTGAAATTTATTCCCCATCTCTGCTACAAAAATAAAAAGGCAAATTCCCAGTACTATGTCATCCAAAAAATGGTAAGCTAGAGCATATGAAACCAGCCCCAGATGTGCACAATAGAATTAGTGGGAAGTTTTAAAAATACCCTGGGGCCACATTCTAATGCACTATTTTTTAATCTCTAGGGGTAAGGTCTAGGCATGTGTATTTAAAAAAAATTTTTTTTTTTAAGGAGTAGTTTGTTGATTTTTAGAGACAGAGGAAGGCAAAGGGAGAGAGAAACACTGACATGAGAAACATTGATTGGCTGCCTCCTGCATGCCCCCTACTGGGGATGGAGCCTGAAACCCAGACATGTGCCCTGACCAGGAATCAAATCAGCAACCTTTTGATGCAAAGGACAACACCCAACCAATGAGCCATACCAGCCAGGGCTAGGCATGTGTATTTTTTTTAAAACCCTCAGAAGTGATTCTAATCTGTACCCCTGGTTAAGAACCAATGAAGAGATGAAAAGAGCAACGCAATGAATCTTTTTACTCCAGTTCTCTAAGCAAATGTAGCAAAGTTAAAAATGAACCAGCACTGCTCAGTGATGTCAAAAATGAATATAACCTGACAAAATTCAAGATAGACCAGGAAAGGGGCAGTGAGAAAGCTTAGTACACCTGCCGGAGTTTTAATTGCCCTCATATCCTTCCCGAAAATCTACAAGGAGAGTGAGTAAAACCACAAGTGAGCCACATTTTCTGAATTAGGAAACAATACAAGACATTCAAATGAACTCTAAGTAAAAAAAAAAAAAATCCAACAGAGGTCTTGTCACCACAAGCCTGTAGGTATGGAGAGGCTTAAGAGATTCTGAAAAACCGGTACAGAGGACTTAGACACAGAGTACACATACTTTGTATCACCTGCTTGTGTCATCTTGTATTATCTACCGCCTTTCTGCTTGTGAAGCATTGTCTATCTGCCATATACGAACCATTTACATTTCAGCATACATCAGCAATGTGAAAATGGCTGGTCCCATAAATTAATGTAAGTGCAGACACAAGTTATCTCGTGACCTGTCAACGACATTTGGGACTGGAAACACAAGTTAACTTGTGACCGGTCGGCAAAGTGTTTTAAGGTAGGTGACAGAGAAGCTCAAACGTTCAGAGCAGAGGGGTGTTTTAGGAATAGGTTCAGAAAGGTATGAGGTTTCACTTCACAGGAGTGGTCAATCTGAAAATCAAGGAAAAACTAGCCACTTAAAAGGACTAAACTCATCCAGCCTTCGTGGCTCAGTGGATGGGTGTTGGCCTATGAACCAGGAGGTCACGGTTTGATTCCTGGTCAGGGAACAAGCCCGGGTTTCAGGCTCGCTCCCTAGTAGGGGGCAAGCGGGAGGCAGCCGACGAATGACTCTCTCATCATTGATGTTTCTATCTCTCTCCCTCTCCCTTCTTCCCTCTGAAATCAATAAAAACATTTTTTTTTTTAAAAAGGAATAAACTCTCTGTGATCATTCCCGTGATGCCAATATCATTTATCAGTGGAACTTTACTTGTGGCTGAGAAAAATGGGCCACACAAATGACAATAGTGAAAAAGGTGTTCTACATTTGTTTGTTTTCTTTCCCTCAGCTTACACTATGATATTATTTTACTTCCTTTGTTATTTTCCTTTGCTTTGCCATCAGGGCGTCTCAAACCATCTGCTGCGAAGGCCACTTTTGTTTGCTCATTTGTTTTACCCAACCTGTCCCGCAACTGTACCTGCAACAAGGTACCATGCATCCATGGTGACATACATGGATGCCCTAGCATGTCAAACTGCTACAAACATTTCCAAATGCTTGCTCTCAGATGTGAGAAATACAGAAGTGTCTGTACTTCTCACATATGCATGAATAAAATAATGTTTTGTCTAACACTGGTCCACAGGCCACATTAAGTAGCACTGCTCCACAGGAAAAGAAAATTTGAGCTTCATAATCTCCAGATTTGGTATTTCTCCCTAGGGGTATTGCATGTATTTATATACTATTTAGAATCTCTTCATCTCTCCTGACCCCCCACCAATAGATCCGGACAACCCACAACACTTCCAAGTATCCCCAAGTGGAGAAACATTCACTAATTCTTTCCTAACCCCTTTACAGTGTAGATAAGGTAACAAGGCTTAGGGATGGTAGGTCTGCCCAAGATCACAGTTAACTGCAGAATTGAAACGGGCACCCAGATCCACCTTTCCCCAGCCCAATGCACCAACACACCCATGCTAAGTTTAGTGCTGTACTTAATTTCATAGTGAACTCATTTCATTACGTTAAATAAAATATCTAAATAAGTATGTTCCATTCTCTGCTACTTTTAGTTAATACTATACAGGTCTGGGGAAAAATTATTTTATAGCAAAAATTAGATCTTTTATCAAGAATATGTACTGAAAAACCAAACGATACTTCCTAAAAAGTTAAAAAAAGAAAAAAGAAATAGCAATATAAGCCTATTATTTAGAAATGTGGTGGTAAGTACCAGAAGAATCAACTAAGAGTTGAAAATGTTTGTTTGACATAGAAATTGAGGAACAGATGAATTTGTTCCTCACAACAAACTTTGTAAAATGATTTTACTATTTATGCACATAACTTTGATAAAAATTAAAATTAAAAAAGAAGAAAAATATACCAAGCTGTCTTAGAAGCCCCATTTATAATCTGAACATCACAATTATTCTGTAACCTGCCACTTCCACGCTTACCTTTCACCTGTCTCGTTCTCTGGAAGGAGAGCCACAGCATTTTGAGGATTCCAATTTCCCAAAGCATCACAGCTTCCACATATTGCAAAAACTTCTCCTAATGAAACAGAACACCAGTTACAGCGGCATGAGCAGGAAAGTTTCAATTTCTAGTTTAAGAGAGCAAGAAAAGAGCATTCAGTTGCATTAGTTCGACCAGATGGAGGACTACATAAATGGGCAATCAATAAAAGCATATAAGTATTCTAAAGAAACAGTAATTGATATTTTCCAGAAACTCAAACAGTAGCTATTAACAAGTTAAAGATCAAGAAAATTATCAAAAGAACAGGAGCAATATAACAATAAAAATCTGAAAAAAAGACACTGAAAACGCTCGTCTGCCTTATAAAAATAATACCTGTTGCTTCATCAGAACACTTCTCATCAATAGACAAAGCAACATATAGCTATCATCTATATTTGCTAAATTTCATAAATTTAGCTAAAGTCTACACCTTCCTGGATACAAATATGCAGAAGTCTTTGACTTATATCAACACATTCTGAATTAATATAATTAAAATTCATAAAGAGAAAGATAATGAACTGAGCCCAAATGATGAAGGTCAGGACAAATTCCTCCACATTCTGAGAGCAGCTTGCTTTCCAGCTTTAGGCTCTACTCAGGAAAAACTAGAATTACAGTTGGGCTAGCCACCAGCATAAGCATTTTGTAAGCTTAGACTGTAAAACTCAACTAAAATGCTAGGTATGAGAGTCATTCAGGAGTTTTCAGAGTTCTAAATAGACGTGTGTAAAGCTTAGGGTGATTGAGTATGAAGATTTCATGTCAAAATATTTCAAAAACTTAAATCCTTTAAAGTAACCCAATTTTTTACAATTAACTTAGGTTATCATACCTTCTCTGATTTTTTTTAAAGGATAAACACTGTTGCTAAATACAAGGCACAAATATGTTGCTATGCACATGATAGCACATGCTGTGGCTCCTAGCTCATAGGACAGATTACCATAAAGTCACTGATTCTGGTCCATTATACTTCCTTTAGAGAGTCTCCAACTTTTTCATGGAGTCAGTTATTTCTTAGCTCCACACAAAACAGCAGCTACTGTTTGCTGTGGAAAGAACATGTACCCCAAATGGAAAAAGTAAAACTTAGGCAACCAGTCGGTGGTTCACTCTTTCCTCCTGTAAGTGCTCCTGCATTTTACCAGTTCCCGCCTGCAATTTACTTTGTCTTTCTGCTAATTGCCTTTGAATATGGCTTCTATGAGGGAAAGGGGGAAACTGTTGACTAGAACAGATAAATCTCTTTGTTTAGTTTTCATTTATAAAAGATAAAGACTTTAAAGGAATTTGCAAACAGCAGCCCCACGTATTCTTTTCACTTGCTCCCTCCAAACCCACCCCTCTCTGCTTTCCCTACTCTCTCAACATTTGGCAAGAAAGTCTAGGTAATGGGGGAGAGCTGGGGGTGGGGTGGTCTTCCCAACACCCCCGCCCTCCACCCTCTCCTTCCCACCCACAATTCATCTGCATTCATATTCACCACTATCTTCCCTATAGTCCTGAGAAGGAGGGTTCCTTCTTGCCAAGCAGATCCTTGGACGGCTAATTGTGTGGTCAGTCTATTTACTTGACATTGCCAGTTCCTTCTAGCTAAACTGCCTTTGTATGGCCCCCTAAAAGGCTACGATATAGGTCTGCAGTCTTCTCCCACAGAGAAGGCTGCATACTGGAGTGGAGGTGAGCACTTGACCCGAGGGAGCCAGCCCATCAGCTGACTGGGAATCTTCCATCTGTAGAATCTTGCCCAGATCATCTTGGCTAAGAATTTGCACTTAGGCACACAACTCTGTCAACTGCTGTGAGGACTCCTAAAACAAAGGTGCTAGATATACAGAGTGAAGCAATCATTCATTCATTCTTTGAACACAAATTTACCCCCACTCTGACCCAGGCATTGTGTGAGGTACAGTAATTCAGCATGAACAAGACAAAGTAACTTTTTCACAGAGTTTATAATCTATCCACAAACAAAATTACTCATATAGTCCATAAACTCTGTAAGAGGTGTTAAAGTCCTGGAGCCCTGAATTTCACAGACACCTTAACCTAGTTGAAAGTGGGGATTACAGTAAAGATAATTAAGGGGAGCACACAGATCTAGGCAGAGAAAATAATTTGAGAAAGTCCCATGGTTCTAGAGAAGTAATGCAACAGATTGAAGGAGCTGGCCAGTATAGCCGGAGTATATTAAACAAGGAGGTGTATACTGGCCAGGTATGATGCTGTTTTGACGTGCTATCTTACATTAAAATTACTTCACAATGCCTAAGCAGACAGCAAAAAATACAATAAAGCTAAAAATAAAAATTTATAAGTAGGGAACAAAGTTATCGTAGCCAAATATTTTGCCAACTTCTTGCAATAGCAAAATTTCCCTTATTTTTATGCTACTTAACAATCATAGCTTGCCCAGCCGGACGTGGCTCAGCGGGTGAGCATCGACCTAGGATCCAGGCGATCGGGGTTCAATTCCCGGACTGAGCACATGCCTGGGTTGCAGGCTCGATCCCTAGTCGGGGGCATGCAGGAGGCAGCCGATCAATGACTCTCTCATCATTGATGTTTCTCTCTTTCTCTCTCTCCCCCTCCCTCCCTCCTTTCCTCTCTCTGAAATCAATAAAGACATATTAAAAAAAAAAAATCATAGCTCAATTATCTTCATTATGTAAAATTAAGTAAAATCACATTTTCATGGAAAATATGAGGGTTTGTTTTTCCTTGAGTTTACTGTGTTCCAAGTACATTTCTGGTATCAGGCAAGCCATAAAGATATTTTCACCTAAAAATTAGGTCCACTCTAATAACAACTCCATATTTAAGATAAACCAGATAAGAAAAATGCTCATTTACAATACCTGGAAACAGAGTTCCTCTTATTTCAAAGGTAACCTGAGAAGGTGTCATTGTGATGGATTTATCTTAGGATGTCGTGCTAGGAAGAAAAAGAGATGTCATTTATAGTATGAAAATATTAGCTCCAGATAGCTACACAAAAACAAAAATGAATCTTAACTGTGAGCAAAATCTTCAGAGACCTTATACAGAAAGACTGAATTACTTAGGAAGTACCTAGCAAATTTTAGGGCCTGTGATGTTACAAACCTGTTCCATAAGAATGTATGGACCATAAAAACTGCGAAACAAGTGTTCCCCCCACCCCCCACACACCCATTTTTTTAAGGATGCAAGATTCTCTTGTCACATACTTTCTCTTCTGATGAACAGCTGTTCTGAAATCAACCTTTCCTGACCAGGCCCATGTTATGGTGGAATAAAAAAACCCACAAAAAACAAAACTATAGAGAAAAAGGCTTGGCTCAAGAGAGGATTTATACCTTAACAAAAGGTTTTTAACTTTAATAACAAGGAAACAACCAAAGAACAAAGTATCAGCCACTGAAACAAACTAGTCATGTTCTACAAGTTTGAGAAAGTGCTTCTTGGTAACTATTGACAAACAAACAAATACCTTTCCCCACAAATTACTCTTTTCAGATTTTCTCTTTATTATCCTTAGGAACCTCAAGTCCAGTTCTGCAGACTTAAATTTAGAGTCTCAACTTTGCAATTTATTACGAAACCCTGTATTTCATCTCACATATATGCTGTTCTTTCTCAAGTTTGAACTTCATTCATAACCCTAATTCTCTTACCTGCATTTTGGTTTCTAAATCTCTTCCCACTAATACATTTTATGTCATTTAGAATATTCTTCCTCAATATTCGTGGAATCACTTCGATTATGTACAGAAATCTAAACCCCTAGCCTTTGATGTCCTTTATCGCTTATCCACATTTTCTTAATTTTCACTTCTTTGCTGTTTCCCCCAGCCAAACCAATCTGTTTACTATCCTCTAATTTAAGTTCCTGAGGAAGATAGGAAATAGATTTGTTTTTAAATATACAATGTCAATTCTCCAGAAGGTTATATAATTTAAATATAGAAAGAACATGCCTTGGCCAGGTGGCTCAGTTGGCTGGAGCATCATCCCATACACCAAAAGGTTATGGGTTCAATTTCCGGTCAGGGCATATACCTAGGTTGTGGGTTCGATCCTTAGTCGGAGTGTGTACAGGAAAAACCTGATTGAGGTTTCTCTCTCACATCTCTCTTTTTCCCTTCCTCTTTCTCCAAAAGGAATAAGCAGATCCTCGGGTAAGGATTAAAAATAAATAAGTATAGAAAGAACACAAGGACACATCACATTCTACATAACTTCTCCAATATTCCCAAAAACTTTTGCACCCCAATCCACCAATGACCCTTTAAAAAATTCCAAACATGCCTGGCCAGTGTGCTCAGTGGTTGAGCATCAACCTATGATCCAGGAGATCGAGGTTCGATTCCCAGTCAGGGCACACGATTCCCAGTCAGGGCACATGCCCGCTCGAGCTTCGGGCTCGATCCCTCCTCGGGGGTGTGCAGGAGGCAGCCGATCAATGACTCATCATTGATGTTTCTATCTCTTTCTCCCTCTCCCTTTCTCTCTGAAATCAATAAAGACATATTTGAAAAAAAAATTCCCATCATGTTGTGACTCTAAATCATTTTTATTTAATTTACTATTTTAAATTGTTTATTTGCTTTTGTTTTATACATTATATTATATTTAAAAGTCCTAAAGAAACTTCCACAGCTATTCATTCTTTTATTGCCCCTTGGTTCTACCGTGGCTCCCTGTGAACACATGCACTTCTCTGCAGTGGTCATTTAATGAACACTGCTACCACACTTCTAAGTTAAGGTAGACAGATCTATAGTAGTGGTTCTCACTGGAGGCATTTTAAAAAAAATTTATGAAGTGAATATAAAGTTCATTATTTTTAAAATTTTCAATTACAGCTAACATTCAGTATTACATTCATGTCAGGTACACAGCCTAGTAGTTCAACATTCATATAACTTACGAAGTGACCCCCCTGATAAGGTTGGTACTCGCCGGCACCATACACAATTACACAGTGTTACGGACTATATGCCCTGTGCTGTGTTCTGTTGCTGTGACTGTCTGGGGACTACCAATTTGTACGTCTTTTTTTTAATCCTCACCCAAGGATATTTTTCTCCACTGTTTGAGAGAGTGGAAGGGGCGGGGGAGAGAAACATCGATGTGAGAGAGACACTGACTAGCTGCCTTCTGCACATGCCTTGACTGGGGCCGGAGGCCCAGCCGGCCACCAAGGTGCATGCCCTGGCCGGGTAGCCCAGTTGGTTAGAGCGATGTCCCGATACACCAAGGCTGTGGGTTTGATCACCAGTCAGGGCGCATACAAGAATCAACCAATGATGCATGAATCGGTGGAACAACAAACTGATGTGTCTCTCTCTCCCCCCTTCTGTCTCTCTGCCTTCTTCTCTCTCTCTAAAAAAAATAAATAAATAATAAATAAATCAATAAATAAATGTAAAAAATTTTTTTAGAGTCCAGGCTCAATGTTAGCTATAAACTATATATCATCCCATTTATATCAATTATAAAATGTAAATGTTGAATATATATAAACTAGACCATCAATTCGGTTTCATGTTACTTGGATAAAGACTTTCCTATTTGGCAACTTGACCATTTCAGTTAGAAAACCCAAGACTCTGTACTGGGGAAAAATCTGTCCTTGATCAAAATAATTTCTAAGATACCTAATCTACTTTCTAAGAGTAAACATAATCTATTTAAAGCACATACATCCAGTTCTACACTGCCAAAGAATGTCCTAAATCTAAAAATATCTTGATTGTTAACCCCCCAAATAACCTGTTATTATCCAAATACCTTAATAGTTCCCTTTCAACATGACAGCTGATATGAATCTAAGTATATAACACTGAGTACAAATATTTCCTTTTCTAATTAATAAAATGGCTTATTGAAGCACTGCAATCTTCCACTTAAATTTATATCAAAAAGAAACCTTAAGGCTAGCAAAAAGGCTCAGCTTTTAAGTTACTGAATTAATTTTGAGACATAGCTAAAAGCCCCATTATCCAGCAAAACTGCTGAATAACCAGTCTCAGTCTCAACTGACAGCCTGCACTTTCACCCAGCGTTCACTGCCACAGTCCTCGACGAAGGACAACCTCGTTCACATAATCACAGTCATTTAAAATTGATCAACTAAAGCTGGATAGTTTTAACCAATGTTAAAGAAGTCAGATGTGATTATTCCTATGCATTAAATTCAACTGATACAAAATTATCTCTAAATTCTACTGCATTAAATGAGAAAATTATCTAAATTTAATTGAATTAAGGGAAATCAACTGATTATTAAAATTGAGCCTTTTGTTCTTAAGGCTGCTGTAAGAGTGGCTGTAGTAACTTGCTGGACACAGCTGCAGTAAGTGTACTATACAAAGCTCTAAAAGCACAAAGATAACCCCATGAAACTTCCCTAAATGTCATCACCTTCCATTTGCATTGCCAAAAGTAATATGACTTGGTTTAACTTCCACCCCACTCCCCTAGTTTAATACCATACCAAATAAAAGCCGGGGGAGCTGCTGCTACAGCAGTTTACTTGACCCTGGACAGAAGCCAAACTTCTGGTGCAGGACTGAAGCACCCAAGCACCCAGCTATCACCAAAACAGTGATGACGAGGTAAAATACTGCTCTGTGGTGGAACACAAAATTTACACACCCAACACTTCCTCTTCATCCAAACAAGTAAAAACAACAAGAAAAAACCTTGAACGGGGGAGGTCTTCCCAATATACATAAAATAAGATGAAAGACTATGCTTCCTGACACAGGTTTTTGGTTTGTTTTTGTTTTTAAATATAACCTCCACTTCGTGCTTTTAGATAAATGTTAAACCGCATTCTTATCTGAGATTTTGAGTAGCATTTAACACTACTTTAATATTTTTTTAAAGACTCAAGCAACTAGCAAAATGACATTGCAACTCACATTTTAAAATATCTCTGAGTTTACACTACCTGGCAAGATAAATATTACTCTTCTTTTTGTCAAAGAAACTACTCCAATATGTGACTTTACTAGTTTACCAGCTTAGGGGACAAAAAGGAGATTTAAGAAAACCAAGGTACAGGAACATTTAGTTTAGAGCTAAATTGAAGTCATAGATTTTTTTGGCAAAAACATATTTCTCTGGCCAAAAAGGACATCTCTGTTCCCCCAAATTTTTTCAAAGTAAAAACTGTTTCCAACTCTCCTTGCTCTTTTCCTGGACGCCAACAGCCTTGAGTCTTATAACTGGCTGTAAGAAAGGGATATATGAAACGTCTGCATCTTCCTGAGTTAATTTCTGTTGATTCTGATGGAGGACCATTATAACCCCACTACTCAGACCCCAGTATACTTTGAACCAAAATTTTAGTAAAATGTATGCAGTCATGAATAGATTTTTATTAAGAAAGCATTTCTGGATTTCATTAAACCAAGTTAGTCCCTTAATCACTTTCTAAACAATGCAGTAAAATCTTTCCAAATGTTTTCCATTTCATGTTATCTCAATATTATTTTCCTATATATTTCAATATTTTTCTGGCTAAGTTATACAAGAAGATTTGATTCATCAATCTACTTTTTGTACATACAAATTTTACTCAAAGTGAGTAAATCTATTTTGTGATCATTATTTGAGTCCAACTTTTCTACGTCTTATTTTGTCTAGAATACTGGTTCTCCCTAGCTCTTTTATTATTTATTTATTTAGAGAAACATCAGTTTGTTGTTCCACTTACTTATGCCTTTATTGGTTGCTTCATGTGTGCGCCCTGGCCGGGGATCAAACCCGCAACCTTGGCATGTCCACAACCAACTGAGCTACCCCGCCAGGGCTCTCCCTAGTTCTTCTTAAATCAAGGATAGGGCCATGTGCAATTTTACCTGTTTATTTTGTGTTACTTGTAGCCAGAAGATCAGGAGTTGGAAAAAGTACTGATCGCTTGTATATACTTTTTGGCTAAGTCACAACTGTCAGAAATGTAGCAAGATGGAGAAACTGGAAGGGGAGGAGTAGTGGGTAGGAGGCGAGAAATGGGGAAGGTGGAAGAAGAGTGTGAAGAAGGCATCCCCTGCGACAAACGTCCCGCTGGGTTCCGTGGGCTCCCGGGTGCCAGGGCCGCATCAGACCCCGCAGCGGCCTCGAGGTGAAAGAATTCCCTCCAGCGCACG